AAAGAGTGCAAATCCTATTAAGATAGTAAAGAGGGATGCTCACTCCTTAAGAATTGTAAGTATTTGCCAAATTTTCTGTTAGTTTTTTAATCTGGTTGACTTGACCTTGTTTTGTTTTATTTTTGTTTGAAAAAACTGTATTTATGATCATTGGTCATGCCTATCTTGGTTGTCATCTTCAGAAATTGGCTGTTGGAGCTATGCCCGAAAAAATTGTAACTGCATTTCAGTCAGTGCATGATGAAAATGTCACCGAAGAAGCTGCTTTGAACAAGTGTAAAGCTGCTGCTAGTCTAGTGGGGAAAATGGAGAGAGATGTAGAAAGCACTTCTGCTCATGGTAAGAATTATCTCTATTTTGCATAACTTCGATGGCAATGTATGTGAAAATTAAAAAAAAATTCATCAGTGACACTCTTCAGTAGTTTAATTATATTAAATTTTTTGACCTGTCTGTCCTCGTTTAGTATTCATATCATGTTAATTCTATTGATTATCGTTCGGACAAATGCTTTCCAGTGTTCTTTCATTGTATATCTTCATTGTCAGGAGTTTTTTTTTCTCTACTTGCTTCAGTAACGCATTCTTGGCCCGAGATCTAGACCTGCTGGAGGAGAGGAGAGAAGGGAAAGAGCAGCAATTTGGCTAGGGATATACCAGCAGCAGCAACTTGCTAGGGTATACAGCAAGAAGGCCAATCTTAGGAAATCTTAGGGAGTTCCAGATCAGAGACCTCGTCCTAAAGAAGGTCGTCGGCAACAAGAAGGATCCTAGGGAGGGCAAGCTTGGCCCAAACTAGGAAGGACCATATCGCATCATCCCGGTCACCGGCAATGGGGCTTACCGGCTTGAAGACATTGGTGGCAAAGAGTTGCCAAACCATGAAGTACCAGCAATTTAAAATTTTTCTGCCATTGTTGTTTGTTTGCCAAATTTTTCCTATGTAAAAGAATATTAGCAAAAGTATTGATAAAAGCTTAGTTTGATTTTGTTTTTACAAAGATATGTTAAAATTTATGATTGTGCGATAGGATTGAGAAAGTCTTAAGGCGATGTTCCCATGGTGAACAAGGCGATTAATTTAGACTTTCCACAAGTGGTAAAGTTGAACTAAGTTGGCGATGTTTCAGTATGAAACAAGGCGAAACTAACCACGTTTTAGTTGGTTTGAGTGAAAAGCTAAGGTAGATAGTACTCTCGATACACTGGGGTTTAGCCTTAAGTGTTTAATTTTGGAGAGCCGAACGCGATGACCTCGATCATGGATGCCTATGCGTTAGGCAAGAATCTGACGGTGCATCCTTAACGTGAACATAAGTGATACTTAGTTTAACATTAGGGGGCAGGAAGCACGAATAAGCATAACACTTGCGAAAATTGTCTAAGATTTTACAAGTTGGACTTATTGATAAGGGATACTACTCGAGATATTCTTTTCCAACATAACCAACCAAGCTGACAGGCTTGGAAAGGTGAGGGATAGTCTAAGTAAAGGACAATAAGCATGAGCAAAGAAATAACACTTGTGAAAGTTTTGAGAAAATTTCTCAAGTTGAAGTTATCCGAGATAATTGATAAGAGATACTATCCGAGATACACTAACCCATGATTCTTCATTATTATGGAAGCTCTGAGACGATTAGTCCCGACAAGAGACACCCCATTTTGACCACCCTTAAGACTTGGGTACCTCACGTTGAACACTCGATGATGAATTGTTACGATGTGCAAATCGTTTAATTTGTTCAGCAAAAGGCTTTGATTTTTCAATTTCAAAGCCTAAACCTTGCACTCCCTTTGGACCAAAACTTTTTTATTTTTTATTTTTTTATTATTATTTTTTTTTTCTAGTCTGACCACTTAGAGACCTGCTGGCCAACGAGTGGCCAGCAGGCCATTTTTGGTTGGCCGACGGTCCCCTACCATGTTCGATCGCCCATGTTTAGCGCATCTGATATTTTGCTTGCTGCTAGCTGTCCCTACGTGCTTGCTTTGCACTAGCTGGCTTATTATAGATATTTCCGATGTGAGTTAGTGTTTTTCTATAAATACATGACCCCCCTCATGGTTTGGAGTTAGAAAATTTTCTCAAGAGCCTATAGCTTGCCAAACACGCTTCCTCTTTCTCTTGAAATATACATACACCATCCATACACTTCCTAAGCCTTAAGTAGAGGCCTTTTGCTAAGATTATTGAACACAAATTTCAGCTCTTGAGAGTGATCACCTTGTGGCTTGTGGACTAAAGAGCATTATCTCTTTAAGAGGTACAATCTTTGCCATCTTTAGCTTTCTTCACACTACTCTTCTCTTCTCTTTCTCTTGTTGTTTATACACTGTTTTGGACTGGTTTTAAATGCTGAAACTTGTGATTTAAGAGCTACCAAAGGTGGAGGGGTTAACCACCCTTTCTTGAACCTTATTCCATAGCTTATAACCTTGTTCTTCCCACTTATTTCTTTGATTTATACACCATTTTCCAGAGTTTTGAAAAGCTAAAATATGTGATTTAAAGGTCTAAAAAGTGGACAGGTTAGCCACCCTTCCTTAGGCTTTCTTCCTAGCTTTGTTCTCTTCCATTTTTGTTTATATTTTCCACCCTTTTCAAAATGATTTCAGCATTGCTTTTTTAGTTTTGGGGGTTGTTTTAGTTGCTTATTTAATTTATGCTTTGAATACTATGCTTGTGGTGTTGTAAGTCCTCATGGATTTGGGTGTATAGGCCATAGCCACTAATCCATTTGAGTTGATAGCTTTATTTAATCACCTCTGCATAATCATCTTTACAACCTCCTCCATTCTTTGTTTATTTTGATTAAAGAGGTGTGTTCAACAAAAGGTTGTTGTTCAAGCATAAGAAAGAGACTATCCATGCTTAATGGTTTAATCTCTTCGGAGGTTTATTACCATGGCATTACATCTCTCTTACACTAAGCACAATCTCTCGTTTGACACTTCTCTTTATCGCTAGTGCATTTACTTCTAAGGGACTAACTTTCTAGTTAGACCCTTGGAAATCACGAAGGAAAGTGTCATTATAGCTTGTTATCAAGTTTGGATTTAGAGTCATTATCGCTTATTATGGGTTTGGTTAGTCATTATCACTCTCTTTGAGTTTGACTATTCATTATCGCTTGTAAATGAATTTGACTCTTCATTTGTAATTTCCCCTGTAGAAAAGGGCTTGAAATGCTCATTTCTCGAGTTAAGTCAATGCTTGATACTCTTTTTTGCTTTTGAACTTAGAGGACGTAATTACCATTTGTGGACAAAAATGAAGAAAAAATTAGAAATGGAAAGGTAATGTAAAAGAGGCTAATAAAATTGGAGTAAAAGAAGTAAAAATGGTAATAAAATTGAGTTGGGTTCAATCGGATGTTATATTGAACTTATTGTGTCTTGACTCATTACATACTCTTTAGTGATGTTCAATGATTCAAGAAGCAATGTCTACCCCTTTCCTTGAGGTAACTCCATGATAGGGAAGCGGCCTCGTTGGTTTTTCATTTCCATTTATTAAGCTTTTGTCCTATCGGTTCATGGATTATCATGCAACAAATTTTCGACAATTGATAATTTGTGAATGAAATCTACTCCTCCCATCATCATTTTCATGACAGGGAGGGGCAGAGAGGATAAACATCTTTAGGAAACACTCTGGGTGTGTTTGGTTTGATTTTGGGAGATAAATTTTTAAAAAAGATTTTTGGGAGAGAGTTTAGAAATTTTTTTGGTTTGTTTGGTTGTATATTTTGGAAATAATTTTGGAGTATGGGAGTTTGAGATGATTTGATGTTTTGTTGTAATTAAGTAGATGTGTGCGAAAGAAAAAGTGATTGAGAAAGAGAGAGGAGAGAGAAAAGGTGATTAATTGATGTGTAGGAGAAAGAAAGTGATTTTGGAATTTTTTTTTTTCAAAATCACCAAACCAAAACAAATTTTAAAAATTTTTCTCCAAAATTTGTTTCTCAAAAGCAAACCAAACAAGGCCTTTGTTTTTGCTCTATTTTGATTCTGTGGCAGCAGGGCAATGGCCAACCGGCCACCAGTTCGTATGACCGACCACTTTCTAAGGCCGACCAGCCACCGTTTTGTATAGGCAGTGGTTACTTTTGTGGCAGAACAGAGCAGAAGCTGGGGCAAAATAGAATTATTTTCTGACTGCAAACATAACAGAATCTGGCAACAAACAGAAAGCCGGGAGATGTTCTTGGTTGCGTGTGTACATGTCCTCGCTTCCCGTTCAGGTCCTTTAAATAGTGCTTTAATAATTAGTATGTTGTAAATTAATTAGTTGATTTCATTTGAAATTTGTAAATAGCTAGTTAATTTTGCTAGTTTATTTGGTGTTGCAATAATTAGCTTAAATTAGGGCATTCAATCGGACCCTCTTGTGCGAGGGAAAATTCATAAGAATTGTAATATTTTGTATGTCTTACAACCTCCATTCTTTCTTCTTTTTATTTACTTGGTTATGTTGGTTGCACATAGTACCATATTTTTGATTTCATATCATTGCCATGACTTGTATCCATTTTTGTATGCATCGGGTTCGGTTCATCATTCTAAACATTGTTGGCATTTTCTACTTACTTGAATACTCGCGCTATCGCATGCTTTGAGTTAAGCCATATGTCTTGTTAATAAACCAAACCTAGTAGTTGCATTTTGTATGTATTGCATATGTCACTTGCAGATTAGAGCATGCATTTTTCTAACTGTTATCTTCTATTTTGGCTTGCCTCGGTTGAGTGCTAGGTGAACATTTCTTGCTTTAGCATATTGCATGTATGTTTGTGTTGCTATATCAAGCATATTTACCATGAAGCTAAGTGCTTATTTGATACCTCCTTGAATGCCGATGCATGCAGGCTATTTTGCTTAAATTAGGATGATGGGATTAATGTACATATGAGCTCGCCTTTTTCAAACAACACATTCAAAACTCTTTTCGAACAAACATGAAATCAAAGCATTTCAAAGTGGGCGAAATAGTCTATACTTGTGTGCATCACATAGTAAAGTTACCATTTAATATTCAGAACAAGAGCATGTAATGTACATAAAAATTACATCATGATTAGTAAAGGCCAATCTTTGATCGAGTGAAGGGAGTGCTCAATTCATGACCTTTCCCTCTCATACCTAAGTTTCCAAGCCAAGACACTTTGGTTATGACGGACAAATGGCTTTTGGCCCGAGTCCCGAGTTTCCTAAATTTTCCAAAAATATTTAGGTGGCGACTCTGAAATCTGGCAATACAGTCCATTTTTAGCATCTTTGATGATGAATGGATG